CAGGCGACGTCCCCTCGGGAAATTGCAACACACTAATAACAGAACACTTGAATTCGCTTCACCGTAAAAGCAACTGTCATCATCCTACACAACACTCAGTCGAGGCCCTCAGGCCTAGCTGGATGCAGTCAACACTAGCCCTGGCTTCGCTAGTGGACACTGCCGCATGAGACAGCAACGGGGAGTTCTGTACACAATAAACCACTCTTTCTGGTGACTTCCACCTTTTAAGTTCCAATCCGGGATTTGGCCTGATGACTGTAGTGATCCGAGTTCACCCACTACCTAGACCCTTACAACCTAAAGTCGCATGGCATTTCTCATATATACCCACTTAGCAGATACCGGCGAGGACAATCCAAGCACAGGTAACGACGAACCCGCGTACCGGCCAGCTGCCAGCCAAGCTACTCACAGTGATTGGCGAGCGCTCTGAGCTGCGGTGAACTTACAGACAGGGCCGTCCAAAACTCATCAACAGATTTTTCTACCCCCGACAAAATCAGGCTCCTGGAGTGAGAAGCGTCATAAATCGCCTCGGCGGAGAGTTGGGAGGCTACGGTGAGTCTAGCGTCTTTTTCGAGGGAAAGTATGGCCAGCTGGCTGTCTGCTGTATGCCTATCTGCGCTCGTTTAGCAGACAAGCAACCTTCGCGTCCGTCACGTTATAGGTGTCTGATGAGGAATTACCAACCTTCTGAGCCCTATCTCTTCTGATCGGCACAGACGGAAAGATAATAGTCGGACTGATGGGCGGGCGAGAAAACTGGAAAACCTTATCGCTGCACACTGGCTGTAGTCCGGCCGCTCCGCCTGTGCATTAGTTCCGCGTTGGTGAGGGACGTGTACCCGGTTTAGTATAACCCAATGAGCGATATCTTGCACCCGAAAACCCCGTTTTAGTCAAAAGACCGCAGCACAAACACTCGCAAAAGCCGGACAAGTAGAAAAAAGTCCAGATTAAAAACCATATCCGAGAAGAGATTACTGGCCGCGGACAATGGGCCGGAGGCATGTTGAAGGGAGGAGACCGTGGTCAACACATGATCGTTTCATCAGTTAATAATGCACTTTAAGGGACCTGTTCGTGCGCATTTTGTCAGCTAGTCTGTATATGCATGTATACGATGTTAGGTTCTAAATCGTGCAGCGGTCAGATTGCATAAAAATGAACAAGGGCGCAGGTAGGGAGGGTTAATTGGTTTCTGCAGGTCAGCCATTCAGTTGACCTTGTGCAGGCGGTTGCTTTGCCTGTATGTGTGATGTGCCCGCGTATTTTGGGGGATGATTGTAACAGTTAGGAGTCAGTCGTTCTTTCATTTTACGAGATTAAAGAGTAGAGCGCGCACTAATTGGTAATGTGCTCTCGAGCCGAAACCGAGAGCAGGGAGGGAAGGTGAGATGTGGAAGACAGTTTGCAGAGTCCGTAGTC